AGGGAGAAGGATGAGGAATGAGGGGACTGAGACAAGGGCTGACAGGCGGGGCGAAGGCTTTGGGGCGTGGCAAATGGCGGAGGGCGGGGCGAAGGGTGGGGCTGGCCTTTCTTTGAGTCTGGAGCTTAGCCCTGGTGGTTAAACTGCCTGAATCTTCAGGTTTCTCTTTCCCCTTGGCCCCTGGGTTCTGGGGGTGAGAGCACACTTGTCCTAAGGCGGCGGGAGCTTAAGCTGAGCTTATATTTTGAATGGCGTAGATGTGGGTGGTCCTTACTGGGTTACTTGAAAAGGCAGGTGTGGGTCTGCTGCTTGCGTCCTACCCTCAGTTTAGGCATGTAGCCTCGCTGGCTGGAGGATTTTAGGTTTTAGGACAGGTGTGGTATTGCCAGTGGGCCCTTGCTGGGCACTTCCTAGTCCTGGTGTTGAGCAGGATTCAGTGTTGCATGGCCTTCCCAGTAAACAGAATGGGCTGGGCTGGGAGGGGGGGTGAGAGGTGCTTTCAGACCTGGGCAGCCAGGCACCTCACATCTGAAAACAGACCCGTGATGTAGGGGTTGGGCTTTATAACAAATTTTGCCCTTCTGTTTGGTTGTTGACATAAGTCTTGTAGAAAATCGGTGTGATCCGGTGACCCTAGGTATCCTGAATGTGGTGAGAAAGCTTAGGGAACCATGTAAAATGGCTGTGGGTAGCAAAGAGCTGTAAAGAGAGGGGATCCGCTGAGCACAGGCCCTGTGTTAGCAGTTATGGACTGAATTGTGTCCCTCCAAATTCATGTCAAAGTCTTAAGCCTAATACATCAGAATGTGACTGGAAACAGATGTCAAGATTAAGGCATCAGAGTTAGCTGCCATCCTCATAAGAAGGGGAGTTTGGCATAAATGTGCTCTCGGCTTTGTGAATGTGAGTTGGGCAGACATCAAGCCCAGGGGGAAGCAGTCCTCCCAGCCTCATCGCAGATTCCAGCATCCAGGTCTGTGAGGGGTAGGATAAGCTAAAGCTTATGGTGCTTGTCTGTGCCAGAGGAGTTCTGAGGGGAAGGAGAAAAACTATGTCCTGTAGGGAGCAAGGGAGTATTCAGGGCAGCCAGGAGGGTCTTTGTCTCTCTGCAGGGGCCAAGGAAGATGCTTTATGTGGAACATTGGCAGTCAGATCTGCACTTCTGAGGAAGACTGGCTGCTGTGAAGGTTGGGGTGGTCCAGCAGGCATGGCATGTGGAGTCCTATGAGTAATAATGAGTTCACCTATCCTACTCCTTCCACCTAAATACCTCATAAGTAACAGCCAATGAGGAAAGTTCTTGAGAGTAGAAAATAAAATAGGACTCAGGACTAGAGCTATGGGTTTCCTTTTTCTCTGGTATAGATTTCTAGGGTGGGGCCCTAGAGTGATCTACCACACAAAGTGGTCAACAGGTACAGGTAAGTCTGGAAAACCCCTTCTCCCTGGTCAGTGGCAGGAGAAACCTATAACAATGCTCCAGTACCAGTCCACAGTCTGTCCCCAGTGACAGTGTCAGAATACCTGCAGGCCACCTGACCCTGCTTGCACAAGGGGGTGCCATTGAGGACTATATAGGCAGTGTTGTCCAGCTGCCCATCAGTACAGAAACCTACACAGACATTTGACTTATCCTCAGCAGGATGGACCCCAGAAATGCACCTTTAACCAGCCCCACTAGTACCAGAAAACCAGGCAGAGCAGGAGAACAAGAGAAGGACCCCAGAGACAAAACCAGCATTGAGACAAGAGGCCACAGAGTTGGGCCAGATTGTATATGTGACATATATCCACACACTGGCATTAGCAGCTGCCTGCTAAAATAGAAGATTTAAATAGAACCAGGAGTCTCCAAACAGAATAACCTAAATGTCCGGTATACATTTGAAAAAGACCGCTTATCATTCCAAGAACATTCACAAAGTGAATGTAAAAAGGCTGCTCACTGAAATGGATGCCAAAATGAGCCATCTGCCAAGGACTTGTCGACAGCCATGAAAATCGTTTTCAGAAGTAATTACAAGAAAAAGTGATTACAAACTCGTTTAAAATTGAAAAAAAGATTAAGTTAGCAACAAAAAAGAAATTGTAAAGCGCCAAATGGAAATTGTAGAATTTGAGATAACAACCAGAATAACACTGCCCATCATTAGAAGGACATAGTGGTAGACTGGAGATGGAGTGCTAGAACTTTCTTGGATCTGAAAAACAAAGAAAATAGTACAAAATGTGAACCTAAGCCAAGTTTGGTAGTACATGCCTGAAATTGCAGCACTGAGGAGGCTGATGCAGAAGGATGGAAGGTTCTGGTAAGATACTGTCTCAAAATACAATAAAATAAATTAAAACTCCCTGACTCTCGGAGGTTTGTGGGATAATTCATATTTCATCAGCATCTTAGAACAATAAGGCAGAGTTGTGGGGCTAAAACATTCAAAAAAGCAGTGACTGGAGATGCCTCCAAATCAATGAAAGAATACACAGATGCAAGAGGCTTAGTAAGCCCTCATACGATAAATCTACCAGAAATCCATACCAAGGTACACCATAATTAAACTTATTTATTATCTAATCTATTGTGTGTGTGTGTGTGTGTGTGTGTGTGTGTGTGTGTGTGTGTGTGTGTGTGTCTGTATCAGAGTTTGTATTGTGTGTGTGTCTGTATGACAGAGTTTAATTCTGTAGCTCAGACTGACTTGGAACTGGAGATGTAGATCAGGCTGGCCTTGAATTCAGATGTCTGCCTGCCTCTACCTCCTGAGTGCTGGGATTTAAGGCATGCACCAGTACACCTAACCTTAACTATTTTTGAAACAGGGTCTCACACTGTGAACTGACCTTGAGTGTGAGCCAATCCCACTCAGTTTCCCAAGTGCTAGGATTACGGACATCACACCTGGCTCTAATTAGACAGTTTGAAATGAAAGAAAAGGAAAAACCTTACCTGTCAAAGAGAAATGACATGTTGCAGGTAGAGGAGAGACAGTCTTAACCAGATCTGCCTGCTTCTCTGGGGCTACAGGAGCCAGAAGGAAGGGCACAGGATTCTTCAAGCTTGTAAAGAAAACTTAACCTGTGACCTCTGTCAAGCAAAATGTTGTTCAGGAATGACAAGAGGAATTGTCATTCTCAGGAAAAAGGCAAACTAATAGAACATTGCTAACAGAACTACCTGCAAGGGGTGTTTAAAGGAAGTTCTCTGAGCACAGTGGAAGCAGTTCAGGAGAAAACTGATTTACAGACACATGGGGAGTACAGTGGAATGGCTAAAGAGTAGCAACTGGCCACCTGAGGCAGGTAGAATTTAACTTGGATGTCCCCAGTTTTGTATGTTGAAGTTTAATTCCCACTGTAGGGTAAAAAGAGATGGGATGTTAATCCAGCTGTGATGGTTAGAGGTAAAGCCTGGTTAGATAAGGTCACCAGAGAAGAGGCCCCATGACTGAACCAGTGGCTTTACGAGAAGAGGTGTGTTAGTTACTTTTCTATTGCTGTGATAAAACACCATGACCAAGGCAACTGATAGAAGAAAGTTTATTTTGGCTTATGTTTCTAGAGGGTGGAGTCCATCATGGTGGAGAGGCATAGCAACAAGTAGCTAGCATGATGTCAGGAGCAGGAAGCTGAGAGCAAAGCAGAGAGCAAACTGGAAGTGGGACAGGCTTTTTAGCTCAAATCCAGCCCCTGGTAACACACTTTCTCCAGTAAGGCACCTTTCTAAACTTCCCCCAAACACCACCAACTAGGGGACCACGTATTCAAATACCCGAACATATTGGAAATAACATTTCACTTCCTGTTCCATAGTCCTCATGACCACATAATGCAAAATGTATTTAGTTCAACCTCAAAAGTACCATAGTTTTTCACAGTTTCAGCCAGCACTTTTTAAAAGTCCAAAGCCTCTTCTGAGACTCAATGCAATCATAAATAAAAAGGTATATATTTCAAACATAATGGCACAGGGCCGGGCATTGGTGGCACACACCTTTAATCCCAGCACTC